TGTAATAGCCAGAACCTGGAAACAACCTAGATGTCCTTCAATGGAAGAATGGATGAAGAAAGTGTGGAATATATACATATTAGAGTACTACTCAGCCGTAAAAAAACAATGACATCTTGAATTTTGCATGTAAATGGATGGAAATAGAAATCACTATCCTGAGTGAGGTAAGCCAGACCCAAAAAGATGAACATGGGATGTACTCACTCATAATTGGTTTCTGAGTCTATAATTTGTGATCCTTGAGAAGCTAAATAAGAAAAACCTTCATCTGACGAAGGATGGAGATAGAGACAGAGACCCACATTGGAGCACCGGACTGAAACTACAAAACCAAATCAGGAGCAGAAGGAGAGAGAGCACAAGCAAAGATGAATAACTTTAAAAATGACAATTTTCTTTTTAAAAAATATTTTACTCATTTTATATTTTATTTGGGTATACGGAGATGGCTGTGCCCATAGAGACAAGAGCAGGACCGCACATCCTCAGGATCCCCAGTTAGAGGTGGTTGAAGAGTCCCCCGTGTGTACTCAGAAGTGATCAAGGGTCCTCAGCAGGAACAACAACTAACAATTGCTTTGTCCACTGAGTCATCATCTCTCCAGTTCACACATGCTGGGTTTGGAGGGGAAAATGTCTTCTTTCTTTTCCCCTTCTCTTGAAAGCAAACATTCATGTTTATTTTTTCCTTTGTCCTGAGCCTTTGACCATAGATGGTCTGCTCAGTACAATCCAGACAGTTTTCTACAAAGAAACCTTACTGGGATGAACTTGGGATCAGCAAATCCCTAAATCCCAGTTTCCATCTGATTGGACAAAAATTAAACCAGAGTTCAGTGCTGCCCCTCCCCCTACTTAACATTCAACTCACTAACAGACGAATTGAAGCCAGACCTACCAGCTGTATGTTTCCACATTCACTGTAAATGCACCCCAGGGCTTATTGTCTACACAGGTGTCATTAGTAACAATACTGACGGCTGCTTCTGGAAGACACAGGTAAGTCTCAGCTGACAAGGTCTTAAGATCGCTTCATGCGTTTGAGAGGGGGTTCCAGGCAAAGACCAGGTACAGAAGCCAGGGAGCCATATAGTTCAGCCAGCAAGTGGGGAGAGGAGTCGACCACTGTTTTCCAGCTTGAGGTCTCAGAGACCTCAGAAGCATGAGCTGTAATGAAATCCAGTGCCTGAGTTTTCAAGTGCACTGAACGGTGGCGGTCAGCCACGATGAGAGTGTGGGCAGCATTCTCCACAGAGAGGTCCCTGCAGAGGGCCCTCTCGCACATGACCTTCAAATGTACCAGGCCATACTTGTCAGCAGCGGCCAGCACAGCATCTGCCTTGCTGTGGAGGTCGGGCGCCTTCCCGGTGTAAATGAAGCCCATCATTGTCTTGAAGACTTGAGGTGTCAGGTCACGAATCTCAATGCGGTTCTTTTTGTTCTCCTCCGTGTCATCTTTAAACATGGCTCTGAAAACTGGAGAGCGAGCAGCTAAGACCGCCTTGTGAGCCTGGAATTCCTGGCCGGCTACCACCAGGCAGCAGTCTGTGAAGCGGGAATTCTCCCACAGCTTTCCTAGCTCATCGACCAGGGTGCACCTTGGAATTGGAATCCTTGGCTGCGTGTTCTGTTCAGAGGTGCTGATGTAGTCCTGAACCATGCTCACCTCACAGAAGAGTGTGAGGTTGTCATCTGGGAGAAACAAATGTGGCAGGTACAAAAGGACATCTCGGAGGAGGAACTTTTTAAAACCCCAGTATTGGTTTTGCCTGAAACGCAAAACTCTTGGACTGTTCGTGATATGGGATTTCTCTCCGTTGGCACTTAAGATCCAAAACTGGAATTTTGCCCATACCGGGCCAGTTGGAGAACTGCGCAACCCTAGGAAAAGTGACAGGTAATCTCTGCTTTCTTCATCCACCCCATTCAGGTTCACTTTCAAATACCATTTCTGTTCGTCATTGGCTCCTGGTGAGAAAGTGGAACTTCTAATGTCTTCACCCATGAATCCGTCCAAGCAAAAAGAGAAGTTGCTGATGGTCCATCTGAAGGAGAATTTTTCGACTGTAATCTGTGTGCAGCCTCTGCTGTCAGCTGCCAGGTCTCCTGACATATCTGCTCCTGGGAGTGTGAAGGTTTACTTCTTTGGATCCAAAGAACAGGATTTTTCCTCTTCAACTCAGTCCAGGAGGTCTGACGTGTTGGCTATTCTTCAGTCTATGTTGGAATTTCAAAGACTATTCTCTACTGCCAGTGAAGGAATGGACTTGCTCCAATGTGAGGGCAATCAGCAAAGGGAACCACCTTCCTTCAGCCAAGTCTATTTATATACTAATGGGGAGGGTGTGGCCAAATTTAGGGTGTGTCCTCCAGCCTTGAGATCTGGATTAAAGGTGTGTGTATTCAGGGATCAAGTTCCAGATTAAATATTTGTATTTTCAACCTTCAAGTTAATATTGGAAGAATTGCTCAATTGAAGCAAAACAATAAATTGTCACAGGTGTGCCCTCCATTTTAGGTTTTTTTAAAATATTTTAATATTTTGTATTGCTTTTTGTTGCACTCTACATTTTTCTCTGCTCCCCTCCCTGCCTCTCCCCTTCCCCCCCTTCAATCCTCTCCCAAGGTCCCCATGGGACCTCTGATGTTGGGTTAGTGAAGATTTTCCCTCAATCTGTACACTGTTGTTTTGTCTTGTTGACAGTGTTTTGCTTTACAGAAGCTTTTCATTTTCCAATTTATTAATTGTTTCTCTCGGTGTCTATGCTACTGGGGTTATATTTAGGAAGTGGTCTCCTGTGCCAATGCGTTCAAGTGTACTTCCCACTTTCTCTTTTATAAGGTTCAGTGTGGCTGGCTTTATGTGGAGGGACTGATCCTTTTGGACTTGAGTTTTCTGCATGGTGAGAAATATGGGTCTATTTTCATTTGTAGATACTCATCGCATTTGATTTTACTCTTTTTTCATTATTTATTTTACTGTAGTCAGGTGTAGGTTTTCATTCATGATGGTCTTTGAATTAAAATTGCAAGTTAAAACATTACTGCCTGTTGAGGAGCAGTGGGACACTTCCTGCCACCTAGCTAAGTTTACACCCACTATAATTACATGGAAACTGTATTCTTTTAAATACTGTTTGACCCAGTAGTTCTAGCCTCCTATTGGCTAATTCTCACAGCTTGTTTAACAGATTAACTTATTTCTTCTAATATGTGTAGCACCACAAGCTGGTGGCTTACCAGGGAGATACTTAGCCTGCCTCTGTGTAGGGTGGGAGAATCATGGTGACTGCCTGACTCGGCTTCTTTTTCCCAGCATTCTGTTCTGTCTACTCCACCCACCTAAGGGCTGGCCTATCAAAGGCCAAGCAGTTTCTTTATTAATTAACCAATGAAAGCAACAGATAGATGATATTCCCACATCAATTGTCAGTTATAACACTAAGTAACTCTCAATGGTATTAAGAAACTGCACCAATGTGGGTTTGTTCTTCCTATGCTCCTTTGTGTTATTAGCATCAATCAAATTACAGCTGCATTTAATAATCATGTTATAATAGCTTTTAATCATTTCAAAGTAGAGAGTGGAAGAAAACAAATAAAAATACATCAAGTGGGGATTGGGAGATGGTTAAGTGAAAAAAAAAAATGATTGCTGTGCAAGCATGAGAACTTGAGTTTGAATACCTGGGACCAGAGTCAAAAGCCAGGCCCGGCTGCAATATATGCAATAAAGAAAACGAACTTCAGATCCACTTGAAGAGATTAAGGACACCAGGAAAGAAAACTGTACAGCCAAATAGAACAAAAAAAAGGAGGGTGCCAAGGGGCAGACTGTTACAGCTATGGAAATTAAATTCTCTTCTTCCCGTGAGTTTGGTGTTCTGTTTGAAACTGAATGATGGCCCCTTAAAAACAGACTTCCAAAAAAAGAAAAAAAAAACAGACTTGAACTTGTCTGTAATTAGACACTTGAATTATGCAATGTTTGTATCTCCTATTCTGTCTCTTTGGCATAGTGGTCAGTTAACTGACCATTCCTTTTCTTGAAAAAGTTCAACAGAGCTGTCCTACACATTCAGCAGGATTTCATGCATGTGTGCCTGTATCTTGAGGACCTCTAAAATTGGTCTGTCCTTTCAAGTGCTTTGCTGCAGCTAGTTTAAAATGCTGCTATGATTACAAAGGTATAAATCTTTAAGGCTCACATGGAGCAGGAGAGTTAGACACAGAGCAGAAAAGAACTAAATGACCAAAGTACATCATTTTTTAGATTCAGTAGCTAGTGTCAAGAATTAATGCTTCTGGGATTATTGTCATTCGTTTCTGTATGGATCTATAACTTCTAAAATGACAATTTTCTTTTTAAAAAATATTTAACTCATTGTATATTTTATTAAGGTAAGTACTTATCTACAGAGATGGCTGTGCCCGTAGAGACGAGAGCAGGACCGCATATCCTCAGGATCCCCAGTTAGAGATGGTTGAAGAGTCCCCCTTGTGTACTCAGAAGTGATCAAGGGTCCTCAGCAGGAACAACAATTAACAGTTGCTTTGTCCACCGAGTCATCATCTCTCCAGTTCACACATGCTGGGTTTGGAGGGGAAAATGTCTTCTTTCTTTTCCCCTTCTCTTGAAAGCAAACATTCATGTTTATTTTTTCGTTTGTCCTGAGCCTTTGATCATAGATGGTCTGCTCAGTACAATCCAGACAGTTTTCTACAAATAAACCTTACTGGGATGAACTTGGGATCAGCAAATCCCTAAATCCCAGTTTCCATCTGATTGGACAAAAATTAAACCAGAGTTCAGTGCTGCCCCTCCCCCTACCTGACATTCAACTCACTAACAGACGAATTGAAGCCAGACCTACCAGCTGTATGTTTCCACATTCACTGTAAATGCACCCCAGGGCTTATTGTCTACACAGGTGTCATTAGTAACAATACTGACGGCTGCTTCTGGAAGACATAGGTAAGTCTCAGCTGACAAGGTCTTAAGATCGCTTCATGCGTTTGAGAGGGGGTTCCAGGCAAAGACCAGGTGCAGAAGCCAGGGAGCCATATAGTTCAGCCAGCAAGTGGGGAGAGGAGTCGACCACTGTTTTCCAGCTTGAGGTCTCAGAGACCTCAGAAGCATGAGCTGTAATGAAATCCAGTGCCTGAGTTTTCAAGTGCACTGAACGGTGGCGGTCAGCCACGATGAGAGTGTGGGCAGCATTCTCCACAGAGAGGTCCCTGCAGAGGGCCCTCTCGCACATGACCTTCAAATGTACCAGGCCATACTTGTCAGCAGCGGCCAGCACAGCATCTGCCTTGCTGTGGAGGTCGGGCGCCTTCCCGGTGTAAATGAAGCCCATCATTGTCTTGAAGACTTGAGGTGTCAGGTCACGAATCTCAATGCGGTTCTTTTTGTTCTCCTCCGTGTCATCTTTAAACATGGCTCTGAAAACTGGAGAGCGAGCAGCTAAGACCGCCTTGTGAGCCTGGAATTCCTGGCCGGCTACCACCAGGCAGCAGTCTGTGAAGCGGGAATTCTCCCACAGCTTTCCTAGCTCATCGACCAGGGTGCACCTTGGAATTGGAATCCTTGGCTGCGTGTTCTGTTCAGAGGTGCTGATGTAGTCCTGAACCATGCTCACCTCACAGAAGAGTGTGAGGTTGTCATCTGGGAGAAACAAATGTGGCAGGTACAAAAGGACATCTCGGAGGAGGAACTTTTTAAAACCCCAGTATTGGTTTTGCCTGAAACGCAAAACTCTTGGACTGTTCGTGATATGGGATTTCTCTCCGTTGGCACTTAAGATCCAAAACTGGAATTTTGCCCATACCGGGCCAGTTGGAGAACTGCGCAACCCTAGGAAAAGTGACAGGTAATCTCTGCTTTCTTCATCCACCCCATTCAAGTTCACTTTCAAATACCATTTCTGTTCGTCATTGGCTCCTGGTGAGAAAGTGGAACTTCTAATGTCTTCACCCATGAATCCGTCCAAGCAAAAAGAGAAGTTGCTGATGGTCCATCTGAAGGAGAATTTTTCGACTGTAATCTGTGTGCAGCCTCTGCTGTCAGCTGCCAGGTCTCCTGACATATCTGCTCCTGGGAGTGTGAAGGTTTACTTCTTTGGATCCAAAGAACAGGATTTTTCCTCTTCAACTCAGTCCAGGAGGTCTGACGTGTTGGCTATTCTTCAGTCTATGTTGGAATTTCAAAGACTATTCTCTACTGCCAGTGAAGGAATGGACTTGCTCCAATGTGAGGGCAATCAGCAAAGGGAACCACCTTCCTTCAGCCAAGTCTATTTATATACTAATGGGGAGGGTGTGGCCAAATTTAGGGTGTGTCCTCCAGCCTTGAGATCTGGATTAAAGGTGTGTGTATTCAGGGATCAAGTTCCAGATTAAATATTTGTATTTTCAACCTTCAAGTTAATATTGGAAGAATTGCTCAATTGAAGCAAAAAACAATAAATTGTCACAGGTGTGCCCTCCATTTCAGTTTTTTTTAAATATTTTAATAGTTTGTATTGCTTTTTGTTGCACTCTACATTTTTCTCTGCTCCCCTCCCTGCTTCTCCTCTTCCTCCCCTTCAATCCTCTCTCAAGGTCCTCATCCTCCCAATTTACTCAGGAGATCTTGCCTTTTTCTACTATCCTTGTAAATTAGATCCTTGTATGTCTTTCTTAGGGTCCTCATTGTTGTCTATGTTCTCTCCGATTGAGATCTGTGGGCTGGTTTTCTTGCTTTGTGTTTAAAAACTACTGAGTGAGTACATTTGATAATTTTCTTTCTGGTTCTGGGTTACCACCCTCAAAACGATGTTTTCTAGCTCCATCTGTTTGCCTGCAAAATTCAAGATGTCCTTGTTTTTTTTTTCCTGCTGTGTAGTACACCGTTGTATAAATATATAACATTTTCCTCATCCATTCTTCCGTCGAAGGACATTTAGATTGTTTCCAGGTTCTGGCTATAACAAACAATGCTGCTATGAACATAGTTGAGCACATGTCCTTGTGGCACGATTGAGTTTCCTTTCAATATATACCCAAAAGTGGTATTACTGGGTCTTGAGGAGGCTTTTTACTAATTTTCCGAGAAATCACACACTGATATCCAAAGGGGCTGTACCAGCTTACATTCCCAGCATCAATGCAAGAGTGTTTTCTTTACCCCACAACCTCTCCAGCATAAGTTGTCATCAGTGTTTTTGATCTTGGCCATTCTTACAGGTATAAAATAGAATCTCAGAGTTGTTTTGATTTGCATTTCTCTGATGATTAAGGATGTTGAACATTTCCTTAAGTGTCTTTCAGCCATTTGAGATTCCTCTGTTGAGAGTTCTCTATTTAGGTCTGTACTCCATTTTTTACTGGATTATTTGTTCTTTTGATGACCAATTCCTTGAGTTCTTCTTTTCTATATTTTGGAGATCAGACCTCTGATTTGGGGTTAGTGAAGATTTTTCCTCATTCTGTATGCTGTCATTTTGTCTTGTTGACAGTGTCCTTTGCTTTACAGAAGCTTTTCATTTTCCCATTTTTTAATTGTTTCTCTCAGAATCTATGCTACTGGGGTTATATTTAGGATGTGGTCTTCCCACTTTCTCTTTTATAAGGTTCAGTGTGGCTGGCTTTATGTCGATGGATTGATCCTTTTGGACTTGAGTTTTGTGCATGGTGATAGATATGGGTCTATTTTCATTTTTCTACATGTTGATATTCCGTTATGCTAGCACCTTTTGTTAAATATGCTTTATTTTTTCTGTTTGATATTATTTGCTTATTTGTCAAAAATAAGGTGTTCAAAAGTGTATTGATTAATAACTGGGTCTTCGATTCAGTTCCAGCAGTAGCAGGAAAAATGCTGTGCTGTTTTAAAATGCTGGCTTTCTGGGCCGTCCTGCCAGGGCAAACTCTGATCCTTTCAGGCTGGCAGTCCGGCTGAGTGTGGTTTGTGAGCAGAAGGCTGCAGCTTGCTTTCTGGCAGGGACCTTGAAATGCCATAGAATTGTGGCGATAAACATGCAAACTAATCAAATAACATTATATTTAATTGTAAGGAAACAAGAGACAATCATTAATATTCTTTCATGCGTACATTGCTGTGGTATGGAAATATCAGAAAATAATAAAATACAGGCCAAATGATTCATTTTATGTATGATTCAAATGATGAAAAAACATGTCGTTAAGGAATGTTCCTATCAGAAAGAAATTGCTTTAAAATATAAATTACCACACAGGGCAAGGAGATGATAACCTCAAAGGAGGTGTGAATAGGGAGGGGCAGGCAGTGTTGGCAGGCAGCTTCCAAGAGTAGAGTTTTGACCAGTTATTTTTTTTACATGAAAGATTGTGACTACTTTTTTGTTCTATACAGATATTCTATGCTTGTATTTTTTTTTCTTTCCATGCTGCAAATAACTACAAATTATTCAAAATGAAACAAAATTTGTAAAATTAGCCAATTTTTACAGTCACCATAGAACCTTCATCTGGCAATGGATGGAGATAGAGACAGAGACAGAGACCCATATTGGAGCACTGAACTGAGCTCCCAAGGCCCAGATGAAGAGCAGAAAGAGGGAGAACATGAGGAAGGAAGTCAGGACTGCGAGGGTTGTGTCCACCCACAGAGACAGAGGGACTGATCTAATGGGATCTCACCAAGGCCAGCTGGACTGGGACTGAACCAAGCGTGTGATCAAACCGGACTCTCTGAATGTGGCTGACAATGATGGTGGACTGAGAAGCCAATGATAATGACACCAGGTTTTGATTCTACTGCATGTACTGGCTTTATGGGAGCCTAGTCTGTTTGGATGCACACTTTCCTAGACCTTGATGGATTGGGGAGGGCTTTGGACTTCTCACAGGGCAGGGCATCCTGACTTCTCTTTGGACTGGAGAGCAAGGGGGAGGGGGAAGGGGAGGGAAATGGGAGGATGGGAGGAGGTGGAAATTTTTAATAAATAAATATAAAACATAAAAAAAATACAGTCAACTATAAAATGAGTGTTTTTTCCCCCTTCGTTTTACAAAGGGGTAGCAGAACAGGCAATGCTAAAGAGGTTTCTCTAGAGGATTATAACCAATGAAACAAGCTTATATAAAAAGGAAAGTCATCAGATTGGATTACGGGGCACACTCAGGGAAGACTACCAATGGGTATCTTCACACTAGGTAACTGTGAACTGGGTAGCTGCTCTGTCCAGTGATGCTGGCTACCTCAAATATCTCAAAATGAGGATTTCTGATCTCCAGCCCTTGCTAGAATGCTGAAGTAGCTGGGTTCTGATGTTACCAGTGGGTGGCAGTGATAGCAACATCTGATCACACACAGGTAAACTGCTAATTTTTTCCTTTAGATCTTCTTTATAGGCTGCCAAGAGACATTGTTCCCACTCTGATAATCACTCCTCAGTCAAACTTCCCAGGAAATACTCCTAAAGACCTTCCTAAAGGCATGTTTCTAGGTTGATTCCAGATCCAGTTAGCTGACAACCAAAAGTAGTGAACACATGTGGATACAGTTATCATTTGGGAATTTATTTTAAAAAAAATGACATGACATTTTCTATACAATACATTTTATTTCTACCAGTTTCACTGCTGTTCTCTACTATGGGATTCTCCATCAACTAGGGCTCCACTTCTCCCGGCACATTTGTCCAGGTGTCCTGCTTGTCCATGTCTCATCTTTTACCTCATTTCCCTGCAGAACAGCTAACTCTTTGCTTTCCCTTTCTAACAAACCCTCTGCTATGGTCTTCCAACTTCCAAGCATATCCAGTGGTCCTTGAAGTGCTTTTGTTTGATGTGCTTATCCTCTTACTGTTCTTGCTTTCTTTTCTGACATAAATAAGAGAGTCTAGTATTCTCCTTCTATGGCTCTAGTTTTTCTTTGAATTATACTAACAGTTTCCTCGGTAGCCATGGATAATGCTGTCCAGTGAAATCTTCACCAGAAGCTTCAGTTCTTTCTGCTGTCCTAAAACTGTCTTAGTATTTGTACTATGAGATGCACCTTATATGATTATTCCCAGCTTGACTTTCCTCTCCGGATGTAGTACGTTATCATTGTCTTTTCTAATATATGTCTTTTTTTAATAACTCTTCCTCTGTACTTTGTAATTAAAATGAGACACTCATTGGTCCCGTGTCTTTAAATCACAGCTTTTCTCATTATACTCCATTTTATTCAGTTAATCTACCTGTGAATTTTCTCTGTTGTACAGGATTAATTTTTTCCCATTAAATTTGCAGAATATACGTCATTCATGCACATCTGGAAAACAGAGATTTTGCATTCTGTAGTAAATAGGATTTTTTATTTCAACAAATTTCATATTTAAGAAATAATGAAATGTCGTACCCTTTATTTTACTCCAGTGAAACTGATTAAACTGTGAAGCAGATGAATGGGGTTGCATTAAGACAGCTCAGAATAACTGTGTTGAATTAAGCAAGATTGGTAACAATATGCTGAAGGTATCAACTTCAAACCTCAGTGGCTTATAACAGCAAAAACTTATTTCTGGCTATACTGCACTGGCATAAGGCTTGATCCATGTTAGGTTGTTTTCATTCTATGACTAAATTGGCAGGAAAGAGACCTGTAATCTGGAGCACTAACATTCCTAAAATAAAGGAAAAGTAACAGAACGGACAAGCTGGATCTTATAATATGACTCCAAGGATAGTTTTGTCCTGCTCACATTTCATTGGACAGAGCAAATTCCACAAGGACTGTAGAATTCAAGCTAAGAAACATGGGGATGCAGAGCAAAATTGACAAGCAAAGGTACTTGTTTTTAAAAACAAACAAAGTCATTGTCAGGTTGTTATTTATGTCTGTGGCATGGCTCTGTTACACATGGTTAACTGGGTACCAGCTTAATGCATTATGTAGCCTTAGAACAACTCTCTCTTCTACATGACTGACATCAAGTCACTGTGGCAGATTGAGCAGTGGGGAGAGCTCAGGTAGGTTTAACAGAAAGAATATACCCAGGAGACCTAATTCTGGAAACGACTTTTTAACATCTCAGTAGTATAAAATTGGTCACAATATTTTCTGACACTTTATGAC